GTTAAGAGCCTTGTGTTCTACCAATTGATTTTTCTAAAATATTCTACTTAATCTTAGGGTAATAGGATCGAGTCACGGAAGATATTTCATAATTCAGAGGTTTCCCTATTATTCTACCTCCCTTTACTTATTACATATGGAAATAAGGGTCAGATAATTTATATTCTACTTATTTTTTACTTTTTTCTGCAGTAAATTTCATTAGTCAGTTAAATTTGCTCTATCATACTGGATCTGTATAGTTAAATTGCTTTATCACACTGGATTTGTATAGTTTATCACACTAGTTTGATTAGAACCTGAAACTAGGATGAATATTCGATCAAGTTGAATAAAAAAATTGAGTTATTTGAGATGATTAGTCCTATTTTTAAAATTAAACTTTATTTGAATTTTTTTCAATTTGAGTCGAGTTTACGAGTTTCTGTTTAAATTTAATTTTAAATTTTTCTAATATTATGATACTATTTGATTTTAATTTGAAATTATTTTTTATAACCATATACAATACGTATATATAATTCTTCATATTTTTTTCAAACTTAAAAATCATTCCACTAATTACTAAAATTTCGAGTTATTCAAGTTGTATTTTATAACTCAATTGAGAACTTGAAATTTTGTTAGAGTTGAGTCGAGTTTATAAAAAAACAACTCAAAGTCAATTTAAATCAAATATTTTCGAATTGAATCAAGTAAAAAAAATCAGTTTTTCTAATCGAGTTTTGTTCACATGTACCTGAAACCATAATGTGACGGGTGAAGCTAGAAAATTGAAGAAGTTTGACCGTCAGGATGATAATAAAAGATGAAGGAAAGTGAGTTTAGTCTGTTTTGATGTAGAATTAGCACTTCTAGTATAATTAATATAGACATTCTTTTATGAATAAGAGTATGCGTTATTTTTTTTTTTTTTTTTGAAAGAGGGTACTTTGATTAAGAATATCAAGATACACTATCCCCAAGGAGTACTCGATGCAGCTTAATGCATCTAGGATCAAGGTCCTTCAAGCACAAGATGATGTGGTTAATGAAATGAAAGAATCGGCATCCAAGGAACTTCTGAATGTGAGCCGTGATCACCATGTGTACAAAAATCTTTTGAAAGATGTCATTGTTCAGGTCTGTGAATGTCAAGATCATTAAATCATTTTTTGCAAATATTGAAAATTGCAACATTGGATAAGAGTTTTGAATCGAACGATATTTATCTACTCTCGAATATTGAAAGTTTTGCTGTATATTCCAGAGTTGGTCAGACTGAAAGAACCTGCTGTCCTACTGCGATGTCGCAAAGATGATGTGCACTTGGTGGTGTCTGATTCAGCAAAAGAGGACTATGCTTCTAAAGTTAATGTTGATCCACCGGAAATATTCATCGACGATGTCCATCTTCCCCCTGCACCTTCTCACCATGGTGCGCATGGCCCTTTCTGGTATATATTATTAATTCTACGAAAATGCAAGATTACATGTTACCAGTTATGCAAATGATTTGGCAGGACTCGTTATTTTTTGGACCAACATTCCTCCTTATAGTTTACAACTGGGGAGGGTTGTGATGTTGGTTTGAGGTTGTAATTAACTGTTCCCTAGTATGGTTCTACTAGTTGTTTGAAATAATGGCAAAACGGTTTTGCCGTTTTATGATCCGAGCAACATCCCCTTGATGTACCCCTTCTGCCTTCCTCTACCTTAAAAATGAAAAAGAAAAATGATGATACTGACCCTTTTTTTTCTTGTTTTGCAGCTCTGGAGGTGTTGTCCTGGCATCTCGAGATGGAAAGATTGTTTGTGAGAACACTTTGGATGCGCGGTTGGATGTTGCATTCAATAAAAGCAAATATTGAAAATTGCAACATTGGATAGAGTTTTGAATCGAACGATATTTATCTACTCTGAATATTGAAAGTTTTGCTGTTATTCCAGAGTTTGGTCAGACTGAAAGAACCTGCTGTCCTACTGCGATGTCGCAAAGATGATGTGCACTTGGTGGTGTCTGTATGGATTCAGCAAAAGAGGAATATGCTTCTAAAGTTAATGTTGATCCACGGAAATATTCATCGACGATGTCCATCTTCCCCTGCACCTTCTCACCATGGTGCGCATGGCCCTTTCTGGTATATATTATTAATTCTACGAAAATGCAAGATTACATGTTACCAGTATGCAAATGATTTGGCAGGACTCGTTATTCTTTGGACCAACATTCCTCCTTATAGTTTACAACTGGGGAGGGTTGTGATGTTGGTTGAGGTTGTAATTAACTGTTCCCTAGTATGGTTCTACTAGTTGTTTGAAATAATGGCAAAACGGTTTTGCCGTTTTATGATCCGAGCAACATCCCCTTGATGTACCCCTTCTGCCATCCTCTACCTTAAAAATGAAAAAGAAAAAATGATGATACTGACCCTTTTTTTCTTGTTTTGCAGCTCTGGAGGTGTTGTCCTGGGCATCTCGAGATGGAAAGATTGTTTGTGAGAACTTTGGATGCGCGGTTGGATGTTGCATTCAATAAAAAGCTTCCAGAGGTGCGTTGGTAGCTTTTTCAGATGCATGTAGCTTAGTTTTTACCTTGTTATGGATAATTACAAATAAGGACGACGCGTGATTTTATTTTAGGATAAAATTATAAAATTTTAGGAGGATGAAAACATATTATTAATAAAATATACAAAAAAAAACTAAATTATATGAGAATTTAGAATTTTCAGACGGCTGCCCTCGTCAGCCCCCTCGGTTCATCCTTGATTACACATCTAATTCTACAAGAGGAGTTAGAAGAAGCAAATCAATAGTACTTGGGCGTTAGATTGCATGGTTGTCTGTATGCCTTCCTACATTCTTCCTTCTCAACTTTGCTTATTTTGGTATCATTGCAGATACGCAAGTGGCTCTTTGGTCAGGTTGGTGCTTGAAGGGTACGACCGTATCATTTTCTGTGCCGCTTGGGTCTTCAACTGCAGAGGTGGAATAGCGTCGAAATCGTTTGTTCGAGTAGTTGTCGTATTAGATCAAATTAAATCAAATTTTTTAATTTTTGTTATTCGATTTCGATTCCATTAGTAAAGAACCGTATAATACGATTCAGTTTACTTTTTATTAAAATATTGAACATAACATTTAATTATCGATACAAAGTTAATAATAAATTAATTTTATTTGATAATTTTAATCAATCACATATTTTAGTTTGAATGAAGAAAATACATTTTAATGTTAATACTATTAAGAGTTTAAAACTATCATAGTGATCTTATTTAAAAAGAATTTTTTTTTTAAAATGATCCATGAAATTTTGATTTATAAATAATGAAGTTTTGGACTTTAAAATTTCATGGTTAAATACAAGGGATAAATATAAAAAATTATAATTAATTTCTTTAAATATTGAATGTTATGTATGAACTTAAATTTTATGTTATTTTATATATAATTTTAATTTTTTTTGGATAAGTAAAATTTCATTCATCCAAAAAGGAAGGCACCAATTGCTGCTACAAAACAGAAACTCAAAGACATTACACCAATCCCCAATCTATACACAGATCCCTATTTACAACATCAATTCTATTCATATGAGTTCTATGCAATTTGATTCTAACATATTCTTTAATACAACTAACAACAGCTCCAACCAAACGATGAGAACCTCCAAATGTCTGTGATTCCGTTCCTCCCATATGTAGTAGATGAATCTAGTCCAAGCAACTTGAGAATATGCACTAGCAGAGATTTACCCTTAAGGTTAAGTAACAGCCACTGGAGAGAACCATTCCAGTCGAGAGGTGCCTGAGAAAGGCCGTAGAAGAGAAGAATAGCAGTCCAGATTCCTTTGTATATGCACAGTCAGGAAAAAGGTGGTCGCGAGATTCAAGACCAGAGCTACACAGACCATAACCTCCATCCATTACTACACCAAATCTAGAGAGCATGTCTTTTGTGGGCAATCTGTTCAAGATTGTCATCCAAGAGATCATAGAGAACTTTGGGATATGGCCAGGAAATCACACCAGGTGGTGCCAACATACCTTCTCACACCTAATTCGAATGTTATCCCATATCCATCTAGCATTGATTTGGTCCCAGCTACTACTGGAGCCAAAATCCCTCCTAGCTTCACTCCTCATTTTGAACAACTTTGTTAGAATCCAACTGAAATGAGCCTTATATTCAGCATTCCAAAAACTACTGATCTAAGGAAGTAAGAATTCACCCAAGCGATCCAGAGAGAGCCCTCTCATGCTAGGATTTTCTTGATTAGCAATAAGCAGCAAGCCTTACTCCAATCAGCCAAACTCCTCAACCCAAGCCTCTATCAGATTTTAGGGAACATATTTGGCTCCAACTTACCCTAGATCCTCTAGCTGGGGAGTCACACCCTTTCTAGAAAAACCTCATAAATAATTTCTCAACATCTCTGATAACCCCTTTTGGCAGAACCAGCTGCCTGCTCCAATAACTGAAAACACTGAACAAGACATAATTGATGAGTTATAGCCTGCCACCAAACTCAACTTCTTATTGGACCATGTGCTGAGCTTCTCCTTAATCTTTGTCACCAAAGTAGAGCAATCTTTGCCAGTAAGCTTCCTAGTCACCAAAAGTACCCCAAGGTACTTTACAGGGAGTTGTCCAACTCTAAAACCTGTACCAGCCTAAATTTGTTCAAGAACAGACTCAGATAAACCATAAGCATAGATCTCAGTTTTCTGCACATTAAGCATCAGACCAGAAAGATCTAGAAGGCCTCCAAAGTGATCAAAACACCCATAACAGCATCCAAGAACCATGACAGAACACCAACAATTCATCAGCAAAGCAAATGTGGGTTAGGGAGATTCTCTTGCACTTGGGGTGGTATTTAAAAATACCATTCTTGGTAGAGACATCCAGTAAAGAAGAACAAACATTCATCACCAATAAAAAGAGGTAAGGGGATAAAGAGTACTCATGCCTGACCCCTCTAGCACTATTAAAATAACCAACTAGGCTTTCATTCAAGGAGACTGAAAATTTGGAGGAATGACACAAGCCTTTATCCAACTACAAAACTTCAAAGGCAAACCCATAGCCTCAAGAACATCCATAAAAAACTCCCAGTTCACAAAATCAAAGGCTTTTTTCAAGTCAAACTTTATGGCACACCTAGAAGAAAGGCTCTTAGAGTACCCTTTGACTATTTCCTGAGCTAGCAAAGTGTTATCAACAATATTCATCCCCTTTACAAAGACGTTTGGCTTAGAGAGATCATTCCAGGGAAAAAGAGAGATAACCTAGTAGTGATGATCCTAGTGATGGTCTTGTATACTATCGAGCAACAAGAAATAGGTCTAAAGTCTTTAGCCCTACAAGCATTCAAGGACTTTGGGACTAAAACAATAGTAGTTGCATTAAAAGTTGGCAACAAAGAAGAGGAGTGAAAGAAAAACCTTACTGCAGCTAAAAAATCAGTGCCAACCACTTCCCATGCAACACTGAAAAACCAAGATGAGTAACCATCAGGACCAGGGCTTTTCCCATTGCCTTGCCTAAACAATGCATCCTTAATTTCCTTATCATCAACCTTCCTTGTAAGCATATCTTCAGCACCAGCAGCCAGGGAGAAGTTTAAAAAACCCCTCAAATCTACCACAGAATGACATCTAACCAAGGGATCAGCTATCCCAATGAGATTAGTGAAGAAATACACTAACTCAGCAGCCATGTCATAAAATGAGTCCAAAAACTGCCCATTCTCAGTTCTAAAATTTTTATGGTGTTCCTCTTTTTATTTGATTCAACTCTTTGATGAAAAAACCTGGTGTTAAGGTCACATTCTTTAAGCCAATGTACCTTTGCCCTCTGTCTATAAAAATCAAATTCTGCAACCTCCAGATCCACCAAACATGAACAGTTCTCTCCTCATCAATGTTCCTCAGATCAGCATGGCTCAAGTTCCTTAGTTGGATCATTTCCAGCTCAGCTCTTTTGCAAAGAACTCTTTTTGAAATATCAGAGTACTACTCATTGTTAAGGTTCTTCAATTTAGGCTTTAATCTTTTCATCTTAGTGAAAAGCTTTTGCAAAGGGTTACCGTCACAGTGCTCTAACCAAGACTTTTACAATACTTAAGAAGTCTTCACTTGAGGTCCAATACTTAAAAATTTTGAATGGCTTCGGTCTCCTAGCCAAGGCACCCCTTTGAGTCCAAATCACTCCAAGACAATGGTCAAAAACACCCTGTGCCTTAAATTCAGCAAAAGAATAAGGGAAAACAGAAAACCAAACAGGATTAACCAAAATTCTATCCAACTTGCGAGCCAAGAATCCCACATCCTTTTTATTAGTCCAAGTGAATGAAAGACCAAGGAAAGGGTAGTCCAAAAGATCTAAGTCCTCCAGGCAGCCTTGGAAATCCTCTATATCAGGGGAGTTGTAGACACCAAGGGTCTCAAAATCAGAGCTCTCCTCAGCTCTGAGGATAACATTAAAATCTCCTCCAACCACCCATAGAGAAGAGCCAACCTCACTTTCCATGTATTTTAGTTGATCCCATAACCCTCTCCTGGATGTCCTACTATTACTGCCGTAAACAGCAGTGATCAGAGTCCTATGACTATTGACACTACCACCTATAGTTAGGGATTGATCACTCACCCTGAAGACAGTAAAAGACCACTGTTTCTTCCACAAAACCCAAATTCTGCCGCCATCAATAGACTCATAATTTTCAACCATATTCCAGTCATTGGAAAAAACAGAGATGAACTTACCAGCATTGATCCTCCTAATCCTAGTTTCCAAAAGACACACAACATCAGCTTCCAAAGTAACCAACCTCCTCAACACCTTAAATTTCTTGAGAGGGTTATTAATCCCTCTCACATTCCAGAAGCAAACCAACATCAAGTAACAGTAGGGCCAGCACTACTACCAACCCCCACACTCCCAATGCCTTTAGTTTTATCCACTAGGTCCCTCTTCTTGGGCTTAATTTCATTGAGCAAAACAGCAACACCCATGGAAGCCACCCTAGTTTTCCTCTGGTCATCCATAACACCTCCACCAGCTAACATATCAAGTTTACTAGAGGAGCTTTTTCCTGCCTCTTGTCTTCTTTTTTTTGATCATGGAGTCTTGCAAAGTGGGGAACTCCTTTCCTGATCCCAAATCCATAATTTTAATTTTGATTAATTATACATTAAAAATTTAAATTTTAATTCAATTATATAAAATAGATTTCTTATATTCATATTAAATAAATATAATTATTCACATAAAAAATTTGAAAATGAAAAATGATGCCAAGTTACTAACTATTTTACTAATTTGTTAAAATGAAATAAAATCAAAACTTTATTTATATAATTATATAAAACAACAAACTAATGTATTACATTCAATATTTAAATATAATAGATTCAAAGTTAAAATAATCGAGTAAAAAATCCTCGCAAAAACAGAAACTAATGAACCCTTACAAATATGGGGAAGTTTTGAATTGATGAAGACCGATTTTCAATGTTGATAATGGCATTTTAACATCCTGGGTGGACCACTAGATGTCTTGGTTGGACAAGTTGCTTGTAAATATAATGGTGAGATCATTTCTTAATAGCAAAATTCCACTCATCTCAAAATTGATTTCTTCTAAGTTCGGAGGTGATAATCCTTAAAAATAAGAATAGTTTCTTATTTATTAAATAATAATTCAAACAAATTACTTGATGGATATGCAGACGGCGGGTACCCTTGAGGTGGTGGATAAGGCTGTCCATATGCTGCTGGTGGATATCCAACTGCAGGAGGAATTGCTTGATCAGGGCGAGACATCTGCTAAACAGAGGGTATTGCCATTGGTTGCGGACCGAACTTGCCATCTCGTTTGTCCATTTCGATCTTATGTTGTGTCTGTAATCAAGGAAAATTTAAGAAACGGTTCAGAATAAGGATAACAAAAATGTCCGTTTGCTTGTTTTGAAACTCTTCTTACCTGCATACAAGCACAGACCCTGCAAAGGAAAATAAAGCTGAATCGTTAGTGTATTATCTTTAGGAAAGATTAGCTTGAGATGGGGTGAATAGAACAGAATACTTAACGTGCAATAAACCATATCGGCCAAACAGTTCAGAACTGTGCTGCATCTTGAATCTCACCGCTCCCAACAATCACTGCGACAATGGAAAATATGCAGGCAATTTGTTACAGGCAAAACATGAAACCCTAAACATGAAACTAGATCTTTTACAAATTCTTCAAAACTAAACATGATTATCTTTAAAACCATATGGGATTCTTTCTGCAGGTCAATCTCATCATCTCTACTACTCATGTTGGAGTTGAGAATCGAACTTTAAAGCTTATACATTAAGATGCAAGTCGAAGTAACAAAAAAATAGCAGTTGAGACCATATAGACAAACTTCATAATCCTACCTCAGTGAAAAGGCAGAACTCAGGACATTTACGTTCTCCACACCGACCACTGCATGGCATATAATCAGCGCAACATGTATACCTACAACAGAAACAAAACTACATGTTTAAGCCAGGATATCACTTCATCGACTTGTAATCAAAGAGGGATCAAATGCAACAATTACCTTGACATGTCATTATAAAGCGCTCGTTTCCGGAGCACGTAGGATACACATGCAGGGGCATGGCTGAGGGTGTGCAAAGTACGCGACGGCGTATGACCCAAAAAATAGAGACCCCGAAATCGAGTATATCTATCAATTTTTACTATTAATAAGTCCTAAAAAATAAGGGTCCGAAATCGAGTATATCTATCAGTTGTTGACATTAAGAAGCTCAAAAAATAGAGATCCCGAAATCAAATATATCTATTAGTTGTTGCTATTAAGAAACCCAAAAAATAAGGGTCCAAAAATAAATTTGAGATCTATGTGCCTCCAACAACCTAGCCATGGCCCTATGGTCCACTGCAGTAAAACAAAAACGACAATGAATCTGTGATAGAAATTTACTCTTAGAATTCAGACGGTTCTAAAACGTCTAGGAAAGGAGAGAAGTCATCTACATATGTACAGCACTGCACACCAATTAGAAGTTAAACATGATAAAAAGAGGTGAGTATATGAGAAAGACGATGTGAGGAAAAACGTTTTAGGATCCAATACAGAACAGAAACATGAAAACCAGGTAGAGTCAGCCCTAAGTCACTCACTCCAGTCACCGCTCACCAACGTCTCAACTTTTAAACCCTAAACCATCAAATAACCCTTATAATCTAATTGCGGCTAACTAAACTAAACTAAAATTCAGGAGAGTCGGAATCAGATCTACAACACCGAAATGAATTAAAAAAAGATTCGGAATCACTTACCACCAAAAAGCCAAGCAGCAATCTGGGAAAAAAAGAGAGTAAGTTAAAGGGTAAAATACTCTAATGGTCACTAATGTTTTGGTAAGTTTTCGTTTTCACCGCTGATGTTTTAAAAGTCACAAATCAGTCACTAACGTTATCGTTTGTTACAAATTGATCACTCGCCGTTAACAGACGTGACAAAAAACACACGTGGACTGTTAACAGCCTTTAACAGGCTTACCTAGATGGTATAATTACACAAATAGTCCATGTTATTTATATATTTTTTTCAATTTGATCATAGTTTTAATAAATTAAAATAAATTTACCTACGAATCAAGACGTGATATGTGTCATTGGTTACACACCTGTCATAACACTTGTTATCATTTGATTGGAAGACTAAATTTCTTTTAATTTATTTTTAATTTAATATATTTATTTCTACCAATCAGAGGGTGACACGTGTAACCCTTTGGTTGGAAGAAAATAAAGCAACAAAGAAACAAGTAGGGGATTCAAACATAGGATCCTTAGGTGAAATATTACAAGTTAAACCATTGAGCCAAGGCAATCATTTGATATAATTTTGGAGAACAAATGGTTTACATCTTGTCTTAGTATGTAATTGCTTTACTCAAAATTAATAATATGTTCTATATGTTAAATTTTAAAATTATCTTTTTGTTTTTGTTTTAACTTATTAAATATTTTTATTTTTGTCTTAATTTATTAAATATATTTTGTTTTTATTTTAATGTAAAAATATATATTTTATCTTGATCCTCACTTAAAAATATATTTTTTAATATCTTAACTTAAAATATATTTAAATATTTTATTATTAATTTAATAAAAATATATATTACTCTTACTTTTAATTAAAAATATTCAATATTTTACTATTAATTAATTTTTTTAATATTTTACTATTAATTTATTTGGCGGAGGACGTACACTGTTCATTTGGCGGAGGACATATTATTAAATATTTTTAATTAATAGTAAAATATTAAATATTTTTAAATAAAAATAAGAGTAAAATATATATATTTTTATATTAAATTAATAGTAAAATATTTAAATATATTTTAAGTTAAGATATTTAAAAAAATATTTTTAAGTGATGGTCAAGATAAAATATATAATTTTACATTAAAATGAAAACAAAATATATTAATAAATTAAGACAAAAATAAAAATATTTAATAAGTTAAAACAAAAATAAAAAAATAATTTTAAAATTTAACATATATAACATATTATTAATTTTGACACAAATCTGGAGGTATCAATTCCCATTTCTTATCAACCTCCTCCTGCTCCAGCTCCAGCTCCAGCTCCATTCGATGCAGCTTTAGGACATCCTCAAACTCCTTCAGCTGCTCAAGGAAGTCATAACAGTAAGAGGGATGAAGCAGTGCAGAGAACAAATATTGGTTCCTGTCAAGAAACAGTTGCTGTCATCCCCGAAAGACTTATATAAAATCTGAGGATGCAAAGGAATTGGACTTGAAAGCACAAGCTACTACTGAAAATGAGTCATCAAAGGGGCTAGAAGTAGAACTTTCAAAACCAGTTGAACCAATTGTGTCTACAGAGGAGGAAGATTGTTGTCCAACCTGTTTGGAACGTATGTCTTCCCCTTGCCATTTATGAACTCTGTCACACTGCAAAAAAAGTGTGGTTTTGTTCATTACTGCCCTGTTTTTTTTTACTGTTCTTTCCTGCAGAATAAGATGCAGAAAATCCAAAAATTATCACAAAATGCGAACATCATTTTCATCTTGCGTGTACTCTTGAATGGATGGAAAGAAGTGAGACATGTCCTGTGTGTGATAAGGTTTGTCTTGAAACTATTTTCATTTCTTACAAGTCAATAGGAACTATTGTATTTAACGAAGAAGATAACGAGAAGGTAACGAACCTATTAAAATTCATACACGAATTTATAACAAATGATATGAAATGGATTATTAACTAATCAAACTTTATATGAACATCTAATTTTCAAATAATATTATAATATAAATAAAAATGTACAAAATATAATGTCTGCTATGTTTATTCAGTGATTTGTCTTATTAGTAATTTTTATTATATTCATAAATTAATTAAATAAATATATTTTTATATGAAAATATGTGTTTCTTTTTAAGCTTTTTAAGAATAATTATGGGTGGAGTGAAAAGATTTATAAGAGCAGCTCTTTTAGGTTTTGTGTGTGTTTTAAAGAAAAATATCCAATATCTTTGTATTTTTAATATAGACATGGCACGTTTAGGCTTTGTGAGAAGAATATTCCCATGCACATGTCACGTTCCAAGATTTGGACCGTTCCTCAGCCTCAACGGGATTGCCTTGACACAGGCACCAAGTCACAGAACGGATGTTAAAAGAGTGTTATTTCTGATGGCCTACGAAACCCAAGGGAAGGGAGTTTAGGTCAATGGTCTACGCTCTAATCTATAAACCCCAGATTTACAGTAGTACCCCTAATTGAATTGGCTCCCCCACACTTTTTGTTCACCTCCAACGTTTTGTTTTGGTAATTTCCTGCATTTGCAACAGCTCG